ATGTAATAATTACTTTCCCAAATTTTATTTAAATATTTACTACAATTAAAGAATGAAAGAAATCAGAAAATATAAATTGTAAGTTAAAATGTGATAGATAATTTATATGAATCTATTTACTATGAATGATTGTGTATTCTTTTAAACAAAAACTTGAAAATTTTGAGGACAAATCCAATTCCTAAAAATAGAAATTCAAAGTGACATGCAGTGTAATACGAGTACTATATACTCCCTCCGTAACTTTAAAATCTTCCCACTTTCCTTTTTCGTCCGTAACAAAAAAATCTTCTCATTTCTAAATCTTCCCATCATACCCTCAATAATTCTTTAAATAATATGCTATTACAACTACTTTTTTTGGATTTATCCTACATTCCACCACATTATTCCACTATTTTCCCATTATACCCTCAATAATTCATATCATCTTTCACTATTCTTAATTTACCTACTTTTAAAATGGGAAGATTTTAAAGTTACGGGGGGAGTACTATCTACTTTGTATCAAAACAAAACAAGGCAATTCACATAGGCTTTTGACTCAAAAACTGTAATTTTGGGATTTATCTCTTTGGAGGAATACCAAACACAATTTTAAAGTACTCCTTTCGTCCTAAATTGAGTTGCAAAAGTTGATCGGCACGGGAGTTAAGAAAAAATAGAAATTGGCAATTATTTTCCCATTTTGCCCTTCCTCACTCGGCGTGGAGCACAAACACAGAAATGGGAAAAACAATTTTTCTTAAAGCCATTCAATTACAACTTTTTGTCAGACAATACCATATGTGTTACCGGTTCAATTACGAGCCGGTTCGGTACCGGTTCAGTTCGATTTTTATGCCCACCCGTAGTTACAATGCTTCAACCTGATATAGCCCACTCCAAGCTATTAGAGCGTGCTCCAACCTGTTAGAGCGCGCTCCAACAAAAAATGTAAGTCCGACCTTACTTTTTTATTATTACACAATCCAATGCACGAAATTAAAAATTACTCTGTAAATAAATAAATAAATAAATAAATAAATAAATAAATAAATAAATAAATAATAAGATTTATAAAATGAAAACAATGATTATAAAAGGCGCTTTTAATCGTTATGTTTTGCATATTTAAATAATAGTAAAACTATGTAATTAAATAAATTGATATAACTGTTAATGTCCAACACATAATAAAATTCTCTCTTAGGGTTTCACATTCGTATTGGTGGAATCATCTCTTTGGCGTTCGTATTCCACGAATCCTCCTTCTCTGACTAATTGTTTCACAATCTCTGCTAGATTGTGGGAAAATGATGGGGAATATGTACGTGTTGTGGTCTTTCTCTAGCTTGTCGAGAGTTGGGGATTTTCTCTTGCGTGTCGAGAGCGGTGCAATACCGCACGTCTTTGGATCATTTTTTATTTTTCATTTTGATCAAGTGCAGGTTCAAGAAAGGATAATGATCACTTTTATGGATGATTTAGAGTAGCGTTGATTTATTTCACCAATTGAGGAGGAAGCGGAAGTATTGGTTTTTGGCAGATCAAAATGGGTGGAGGGTGGCACGGGCGACGAGCAGACGGGGAACAGTGAAGGGATGAGCAAGGGAGAGAACAGATCAACAGTCCCACCACGTTATGTCGTTAGAAGGATCTTTATGACCAGTTATTGTTGTGTCATACTTGTTTGGTGATTAACGATTCGTATTGCTCTTTCAGAGTCATCGTTTCTAAGTTTAGTCGTAGGATTGATAATGTTAGTTAATTACATATATTTCTTGTAACAATATATTAATATAAACAAATTTTCCTTTTTTAAAAAATATAAATGTCCAATCTCCAAAATATTCAACACAAAGGCTATGTTTGGCGGGCATAAGTCCCTGACTTCTAGCTTTTGTACTGTTCAAAAAGTTCCTAAAAGCTTCTAGTTGTGTGTTTGGCATGACAATATGTAAGAGCTTTTCAAAAATTAAAAGATCTTTTTTGAGATGCTACCGGGAGTAGCATCTAAGAAAAGCTAGTGACTTTTAGTATTAATTAATCCTAACAGCTTGTATACCAAACCGAACTAAATCAAACAGTCAGCTTTTTATCAAACAGCTACCACCTTTTCTTTTTAAGATCTTTTCAGTCACTAAAAGCTAACAGCTATTAAAAAGCTCACAAAAGTATCTTTTCAGCTAGTTGTGTCAAACATGCCCAAAGTGCGAGTCACTATTCTAGCGACTTATAGTAGCTGCTGCCTTTCCATTCCCACGACGACTCACTCTCAGCCGGCCAAAGTGGCAAACCCAAAACGACGGTAAAAGAAGTTAAAGTTACGGATCAATTCTTTCAAATGACTTGAACAGCTAAGAACCGAAATTCAGAAGTCTTTGCACTTCTAGAATTTGTTTTCTTCTCCATAAAACTTCTTCGTGGAGTGATTTTCACTTCACTTTTGAGATTACATTTCCTTTTATCCTTTTGATCAATTTCTTGTATGAGAAGTCTAACCATGCCTGGCCGGAGAGACAAATCCGGCCAATCCACTCGCGGATCTCGAATCGGGGCGGCGATAGCTGTCGGAGTTCTGATGGGTTGCATCTTTGCTTTCTTCTACCCCAATGGATTCTTCCCAACCAATGTCCCCCAGACCGAAAGTCGCAAACTCTCCAAACATAATCTTCAGGTCTGTATTTATGTAAACCATTACCAGTAACATTTTTATTTTCTCTCAATTTTATATATGCGCGCCTTTTCCGTTGAAATTTTAATTCAGTCGAGACTGCACTGTATAATTCTTACGTAGTACGTAGTATTTAATTTTGCGGATATCGGACAAACTATTTAATCCAGATGCTCTGTGATGGAATTTCCGAATCTAGGTTATATTTTCTTACATCATTTGTGCATGATGAGATGAGATGAGGTTCACTATGATGTGTGACTTATGGACCAAATATTGTGCTCCAGAAAATGCTTACCCAGTTTTGATCTTTTTTTTGAACTTTGTTTGATCAATTTCCTTTTAAGTACGTTTTGTAGCTTTAAATGCGGCTACTATTAATTGATGATGATTTTTAAGTTAATTAAGTATGAAGGAATCACATAATTCATACTCCGTAATTATTTGCAAATCTAGCATGTGGTATCATGCATTTTTGATTTGAATTGAGTATCTCTTGAACCCCTCTAAATGAAGATTTCCCAAAACAATCGGTTGCAATGGCGGTAATCTGGAGTACTTATACTGATTGATTGATTGATTGTTCTCATGGTCAATTGTATGCTTATCAAAATTTCCTTTTAAATGGTAGGTTGACTCTTCCACATGCGAATCTCCTGAGCGGGTGAATTTGTTGAAACTAGATATCATGAAGTTGTCTAACAAGAACTCAGAGTTACAGAAGCAGGTGAGGGAGCTAACCAGTAAGTTGCGTTTGGCAGAGCAGCAAAAGGGGAACGTAGATCAACAAATTGTTGTGTTGGATAAACCCCCAAAACCTGGTCCATTTGGCACTGTCAAGAGTCTGAGAACCAACCCTCCGGTCATTCCAGACGAATCTGTCAACCCAAGACTGGCTAAGATTTTGGCAGAAGTTGCTATTGGGAAAGAGATCATAGTTGCACTGGCAAATTCGAATGTGAGATCCATGCTTGAAGTATGGTTTACAAGCATTAAAAAGGTTGGCATATCGAATTATCTAGTTGTGGCTTTAGATGACCCGATTCTGGACTTTTGCAATGAAAACAAAGTCCCGGTTTACAAGCGGGACCCAGATGAGATGGTTGATTCTGTAGGGAAAATTGGGGGGAACCATGCAGTGTCTGGATTGAAGTTCAGAATCTTGAGAGAGTTTCTACAGCTTGGTTATAGTGTCCTCCTCTCTGATGTTGACATTGTTTATTTACAAAATCCTTTTGACCATTTGTATAGGGATTGTGATGTGGAGTCGATGAGTGATGGGCATGACAACATGACAGCTTATGGATACAATGATGTCTTCGATGAACCTGGAATGGGCTGGGCACGTTATGCTCATACGATGCGGATATGGGTGTATAATTCCGGGTTCTTTTACATAAGGCCAACCATTCCTTCAATCGAACTACTTGACCGAGTTGCTGATCGGCTTGCCCGGCAGGCAAAAGCATGGGACCAAGCGGTTTTCAATGAGGAGTTGTTCTTCCCGTCACATCCAGGGTATGTTGGACTTCATGCTTCTAGGAGGACCATGGATATATACCTTTTCATGAATAGTAAGGTCTTGTTCAAGACTGTGAGGAAAGATTCTAATCTCAAAAAGGTGAAGCCGGTTATAATTCATATAAATTACCACCCCGATAAACTTCCCAGAATGCAAGCTGTTGTTGAGTTCTACGTTAATGGGAAGCAAGATGCTTTGGATTCATTCCCTGAAGGTTCTGAGTGGTAAAAAGTTCTTTGTTTTCTATGGGACATTCACTTGGTTTTTTTCCCAGATCTGTTTTTTCTATCCATACTTGTAGCCTCGGGCAAGTTTCCTTCTGGGCTTCCATGTGTAAGATTACGTGTCAGATGAAACAGCATGTCATGCTGCTCAACGCTGGATGTGAAATTCACCTTTATTATTAACCCTTGGTTTTCTTCTGATTTATTGTGACTTTTCAGTGAGTAGCATAACTTTCTAGAGGATAAATGAGTTAGGGTGCTGAAAAGGTTTGTTCTTCACAGTACACTTATAGCACAGGATAAATGATTTCTTTTTTTGGTACAACAGAAATGACATGATAAGTTTTATAAGCCCATTGGATTTTAATTTTCCTGAAAACTTTGTTAAGTTCCCATTAAAATAACTAATTTATGATTTTACTCTTTTTAATGATTTTATCCATTTCTCTCTTCTCCGCATGTATCTTAATCACATTATTTTTACTTCTCTTATTTCTCACATAATTCACCAGGATAGCGGTAATAGAAGTTTAAACAAATCAGGGTGAAAGTGTTCAGGTGACAAAATTTCTCTAGTTTTATACGTGTACTTAATCTTGTATATTTCTTTGTCCTTTATAACTTTGCCAAGTTTGACTCATATGGAGAATTATAAAGTAAAAACCGGATGATTGGAATTGTAACCGGAACCGCAAATTAATTTAATTGATTAAAAAGGAAATTGACAATTTTTTTAAAACAATTTAAAAAGGAATGACTGGTAATGTTATAAACGACCAAGTATATAAACAATTCACCGTATTTGAATATAGTTATTGTAACCCAACAGAAATTTTCATGTAATAATAATATTGAGTCACACTGCATCAGTCAACCATATTGAAATAGGACTTTGAAGGAGTCAAGGAGCTTTGAGCTTTTGAAGCATGGTGAGATGAGATCATGAGAGAGCTTCACAGGACTTAAAAGTAAAAATGCATTGCAGTGAATTTACAGAAAAAGATTAGAAATAGTAGATAAAAAAGCTGGAGAAGTCCATAAACATGAAATTTAGTAAACTTCCTTAATGGTCTGACTTAATTGTGTTTTAGGCGAATCCAAGTTGAATAGTTTCCCTAAGCTCTATCTGTTCTTCAGGGAACCGAGAATAATGACCAGCACATGACAAAAAACTGAATCACTCTAAAAAAAACTTTCATGACAAAAAACTGAGTCCCTCTAAAAAAATAAAAGTTTAAGTGACTTGTTATGTAAGAGTATTATATAAACCTAAAAAATGATTACGAATATGATATGAAAAATTGCTAGTAATTTGTATTTTTAAACATATTTTATATGAAAAAGAGTTGAAAATATTAAAGTTATTGCAGATTACTCAAAGACACAACAAATAAACCTGGGCCAAACTCATTTATCTTCCTACAGGCTACAACGTTCTATATGAAGTATGATCTATATATACTTAACGCGCAGAATGTTATATTCCCAATAGGTATCTTTAATAGTCTGAACTACCTCCAATCAAAATTCATTTATCCTACTCCTATCTCCTCTCTTAATGGAAGCATAGTTGACTTCTCCCTAAAAAGCTTCATACTTTTTTATGCATGGGTACATTATTACACGATTCTATGTATGAAGCTTCAGAGGTTTTCAGCAACCACACAACATAACGTGCATTAACACTTAAGAACACATATTTTATTCATTTTTAGAGCTTAATACAAGTAATTAATAGTTCCATACTTGCATGAAAATACATGCAGCGCCATGCTAGAGAGGTGCTGATAACCCATTGTCCTTCATCATCGAAATATACTTGTAAGGTGCAGCAGCGCCTGCCTTGACACACATATCTATAACGGCCGGAGCATGCCCATAATAATCCCGACCTTCATCCACAAGTACCCGTGGATCTTGAGGTCTCCGAAACCATACTATCTTTGGAGGGACAAAATCGTCCACTCCTGCCTTCTGCCAGACATGAGCCTCATGTTGACTCTCATTGACTCCACCTAAGGGCACCACGTGAACCTCCGAACAGAGTTTGCATACCTTTGCTGGGAAAACCAGAATCAGCTTCTCCACGCCATTCCTGACTGATTCATAAGCACTTAGTGTTTCTTTTGCTACAGACTCCATTTCTTTGTCCAGTGGATCTGCAGTTTCAAACCTGTTTCCTGGTTCTGTACTGTTTAGATATTCACTAGGGAGGGTAGCTCCTGCTCGTAAGCAGAGTTCTACTACTGCTGGGATATGGTCATGATCTGATCTTTCTTGGGCATAGTGAACTGCTTCTACAGGAACCAGAATGTCATTCAACCGCGCTTTGATCCACTTATGAGCCTCAATCTTTGCAAGATGCCTGTAACCACCACAAGTTCGGATTAAATGACCTCTCTCTCCAATGTACACTTCTGGACAGTATCTGCAATAGAATTTTCCAATTCATAACTTATCGCTTTTAGACACACTAAAGATTATTACATTTCCCTCTCTGCAATTTCAATTATGTATGGCTTGTTTGATTCTGGGATTCCGGAGGGGAAGGAAGGGGATGCTTGATTTTTGTTTTAAAAACTTATCTCTAGTATATAGATAAAAAAACATAGTGGCCATGAGGACTCATGGCTTATGGTGAACATCATGAAGCCAAGGCAGTTTGCCTTGGCCATGGCACATTACACAAATATAGTTAAATGTGCCATCCATACTGTTTTGAACTCTCTTATTGTTTTGACTTGCCTATATGTTTTCTATGGCTCATCCACTAATAAGAGAGTTAAATAACCAAATCCTAGAAAACATATAGGCAAGTCAAAACAGTACCAAAATAACTAAATTCCTAATCAAACAGACTTAAAGAATGAAAACCAGCAAATAAAGTACAAATAGAAGTTAAAGGCATAAATATAAACTACAAAGTAGATATAAACTGGAACTAAACTTTCAAATAAACATAAACTGTAAGTCTGCATAGTAGAACCCTGCCATACTGCCATGTTTATAAATATTGTATATATGTACTTTTACAAATTGTAATGGCTTTAAAAGTGAGGGATTTGACCATTTGAGAATATGCACACTATTATTATTCAATGAATCATTAAACTAACATATATAGCAGATTAATATGATTATATATAGTATAATCATGAAATACATCTTATACACTCTATCGTAATATACAGACCTCTAAGGCTCTAACTTATACTCCGTATTATTTAATAATAGATATTTTGATATTAATATATTATATATCCTATTATATTCATATGAGTCTTGAGACTCTTGACAATAAGGTAGAAACGAGGATACCTCAGTGTATATGGAGTTTGTACAGGAAAATGACCGAAAACAATCAAATATTCAGGTATTAATTACATTTTACTTAGTTGAGTATGACATTTTTTAATTCTTTATTGTGGCCTAAGTCTTAATTGACAATTATTAATTAGGGCCAAGGCTCTAATTAATATGGCCATGTATGGCTATATGTAAAATATAAAGTTGTTTAAAATATGAGCCCACTTGTGGCACAAATGGTGATGGTGCACAAATGGCCCCGCCACATGTATAATTGACATGAGGGATTACTTTTGTGGCGATAGGCCCTTAAACGGTTAAACGCCGATGGCAATAAATGGAAATCGCCATTTGCGCCATTGACTAGTATGATCAGGGATAACTACAGAGTACATATTAAATTATATAATGTGAAGTTGTAAAATATTTCACCCTGACTTTCTATTTAGTTGCCTAAATGTCAGAATAACTTAATAAATAAATAGCACTCCCATTTCATCTCTGGCCAAACCAAACAAACCCTTTTAGTAAAGAAAATCCAAGTATAGTATTGAATATTGATCGTAGTTTTCCCTACCAATTCTAATTATATGAAAGGAAATTTACAATAAGATGTGGGCTTTTGCAATCTCCCAAATATGGCTACTCTGGAATTGAAATGTAAGAAGCATTTTCGAAATAGATGTAACTAGCCTGTTAAAAAGCACTAGAGGGTCTCTACACAGTACACACACAGTATAGACTGTGTCATATCACTTAATTGAGCTTATGCAGGGATTAGTCATCATAAGAAGAAATCAGAGTAAGTCTAGCGCCTAGGTAGCAATAGCATGTATTTAGCTGAAATACAAGCTGAAAGTTGAAAAGGATGTAGCTGGAAGTGTTAAAAGTTGAAAGCTACGAGCCTACTATTGGTGGTAGCAGTGTTCGGTAAAATTGGTTTTGTTGAGTACCTCATTTAAGTAAAAGGGCATAAAAGCATTCATTAAATCGATTAAATGTAAATAGAAGGTGTCATTTTTAAAAAAGGTTGTTAGTGAAGTCCAAACAAATAGTTAGAAACCTGTTTCTGAAATGCAGTAAGAGATTGCTTGTCAAATAAAAGCATACTTTAAAGCTCTAACAAAGTATTTTACTTAGCAGATTCCACAATTATGTTACTTGGAAGTTGAACTTAAAATAAGCAATCTAAACTTTCTGAGCTAATTTTCATATTTGAAACTTTTCCATATACTCTTCTCTTACCTCAGGAAAGGAAAACTTTCACCAATGTATGCTAATATTATTTCTGGAAAATGGGTGAATTTGGAAGACACATGTTTAGAAATGCTACAAATGTGAACACATAAGTGGTTATTATCATAGGCTCAAAAAAGTATTCCAAACAAGCAAATACTCTGCAAAAGTGAGAACAATTACTTGCACGCCCAGACAGGCAAATGGTGGAGGAGGGTGGAGACACCGCGGTAGAGTAAAGCTCGGGACTTGAGGACTTCCTGAGCCACAGGGGCAGTCTCATAGAAACGGTAATCCTTTGCCCAATTCTGAACCTTCTTCATGATGAATGGTTTCAGCGCTTTCAATTCCACCGCCTTCGAATCCGAGCTGTAGGATCGGCGGGACCTCGCCTTCGGCATTCCCAGCAGCAACTCACTTCGTATCCACATCTTGGCGATTTTCCTAGCCATTTTCGACGATTGTGTATTCGCCGATTTTACACCTGCGGCAGCGTGGGATCATTGATGTTCCAAACCGGCGACGGAGGATGGAGGATGGTTGATCTGAGAGGACAACGGCTTCGCAAAGAAGCGTGAGTTTGAGTATAAAACACGGAGTAATTGCCCTATAAACCCAAGTAGATCGCAATTAGCTTTTATTGTGGGAATAATGTCAAAAATACTTGGAGACTTTTACAAAGAAATGATAATGGAGACTCATAGATTGGTAGTCATGACTTTTACAAAGAAATGATAATGGAGACTCATAGATTGGTAGTCATAACAATTAAAAAAATTATAATACCAATAATACTATTCATAATATAGGATTATTGAATAAATATATCCTCAACTATCATCAAATTCAAAAATTTATCCCATATTTTCACTTTTATTAAAAAAAAGATTCAAACTTTAATGCACTCACAATTACACTTTCAATGAATGAATTAGTAAAACTCAATAAAAAAATCATATTTATATTCATATTTTTTCACTCATTTCTATTTTTACTTTTACAAACTTGTATTGCTTATATCTTATTAATATTGATAAAAATGTGTAATTTTGAGAAAAAAAACATAATTGTTGAAAAACATGAAAGTTAAGTCTTTTTCTGATAAAAAAAAGTCCAATAATATGATAAATTTGTGAATTTGATAATAGTTTGGGATAAAATAAGCTAATAATCCTAGAATATATAACAACATAATTAATATTTCAATAAAATTCAAATTGTTGATAACACTTCATTAATTAAATATAATAATAATATTAAGTGCTATGGAGTATTATGTAAAACCCATTAGTAGTAGTCCTATTTTCCGGCCCATTACACATAAAACTCAGCCCAATAACCTAACCTAATCCGTCCTATATAATCTCACATTTAACCATCATCTAATACATTTACTCAGCGGCCTACTTGACAAACCATCGGTGTTGTCTGACCCTCCCGTTTCTCTCTATTCCTCTCAGTACTCATGACCCTTCTGGCCTTATCATCGTTTTGTTTTGTCGGTCTTGTTTCACGGCTGAGCAAAGGTACACCGTGTAGTTAGTGTGTCGTATGGCCGGTGTTTTCTTGATCCACCACTACGACAACGCTAAACACTAAGTAACGATCAAAGGATCATAGAACTCATGTCTCCTTTGGCATTTTGTTATTGGTCTACCTTCTTAAGTTTTGTTTAGTTTTTTGTATTGATTTGGTACGAAGGCTGAGTGATAACAGATGATCTCAGACCTCATTATTCGTTACTGTTTTGCACTTGTATGTGACATGAAATAAGATCTATATGATATCCCCAAAAAACTCTTGGATTGTGATAGATCTTCTGTTTTTTTTGAAAATATTTGTTGTTTTTTGGCATGCGTGTCTTCTTTATTATGCGATAATGGAGTAGCAAAACCTGACTTACAAAATATTTTCCTTACACAGTATACACACGAACGACTCAAAGGCTGAGTGATTATAAAGAAAGGGTCTCAGTTCTATCGTTTTTCTCCGTCATTTTTGTTATCCCTCAATTAGTTCTTTTGTATATATTTTCTCCGAATACTGAGTGATATTAATTGATCTCAGAGGTCATTATTGTTTACCGTTTTAAACTTGTATGTGACTTGGCTTCACAAATTCAAACTTCGCCTAATAAGATCATCCCGATTTATAAATATCCGGATCGATAGGTCTACTAAGGCTAAGTGATATTCAAGGATCTCATATCTTATTGTTTCTTGTTATGGACTTGTGTCAGACTTGGCTTAACAGATTCATATTTCCCCAAATATTTATATGTTTGCTTCTGATTTTAATAAATCTTTAGTTTTTTTGGGAATTTTGTATTCACATTGGGTTGGAACTCCTGGAAGGTATTTGGTCTTCTCAAAAATAGATTTACTACCCATGTATCGTTTTCAAGGTGACCTTTATCGTTAAAGGGGTGGAGTTTATTTCCATCGTTGCCTCATACGATCAGAGGTCCAGGATTTCAGATCTCTGTTGTTTTCTTTGTGGTATATATGACATACTTGTCCGTTCTTGATATTTAATTGAATACTATTTTAAATTAGTTTTTAGTCTTCATCGATTAATTAATCGAGCTTTTTGGACCTCACCTGAGTTCGTAATTCACTACATATTTCTCCGATTTGAAATACAAATGGAATCGATTATGAGATTGATAAAGTTCATAAAGCTATATGGAAATACAAATGGAATCGATGATTTGAACGAAGATTTAGTTCTATGCCACAATTTGTCAAACTTAGATTTTTATATGGGCATACACGTTATGTTCTTTGGTTATAGTTTTATACAAATTTATTTTAAACACCAACTAAAAATTAAAATAAAATCTTTGTGTTAATCAAACATAAAAATCACCTCTTGTCATGCAACACCATTTTGACTGTCTTCCCTCCCCTAGTAAAGCATCTCGTAGACCATCACCACCTTAACCCTTAAAAACCAGTTGGTGGCGATGTATCTCATACGCCCTTGCCACCCTAACCTTAATTGCAGGTGAACTTAGGGAGTGTTTGCAACTGCTTCTGCTTAAAAAAAGCACTTTTGGAGAAGTAAGGAAAAAGTGATTGGTAGTAAAAGTTGATAGTGTTTGAGAAAAAAGTGATTTTGAAAAGTAAAAGTTGGTAGTGTTTGGTAAAATAAGTGCTTTTTGTGTAATAGAAAAAGGAAAAGCACTTTTCACACGCAAGCCGAGAAAAAGTAAAAATTGGTAGTGTTTGGTAAATAAGTGCTTTTTAAAGCCAAAAGCTGAGAAGTGCTTTTTTTTAATCAGTTGCAAACACTCCCTTAGTATGATCGATATCCTTGATTAAAGCCCACATCCTTGATGATGATGAACCCGCTGCTATTGCTCTGTTTTGAAAATTAGAATGTCGAATTACTGGTTTGTGGTGTGTTGTGACTCCATTGCTTGGGTATTTATAGTGGCTTGGGGGGTGAAAACACAGGGTAATTCGTGGTTAACCAAAGGTAAAAAAATCCCACTCAATCTTTACATTAGGATTTTGTAGTACAAAAATTAATATAATTTTTTCATGATGGTACAATGCATTAAATGTTTGTGTGGCTCAAGAATTGCTTTGGGATTACATCTTTGGTCTCTAAGATATGTAGTACAATTTATTTCATTTTTTTAATCAACCCAATAACTCATTTTTGAAATGCTTTTGAGAAATATGAAAGCGCCTTGCCACAGTACAAAGAATTTAATGTTTGTGTGGCTCAAGGCCTGCAAAAGTCTTTTGTTTTTGATCTCTTTGAGCAAAAGTACAATTTAGAATTTAATGCTCTGAGTCCACACGTTTTGAGCCACACAACCAGACTTGCGTAATTGGCCAACATTAAAGAACAGTTGTACCCATGTTGCAGCCTGCACAGGACCTGTTTCTGTACCCATGTCGCACTGACCTGACCAGTAATTGTACAGTGTTTAGGCGGGAACACTGTACAATTTTTCTCTTGGCTTTGTATAATAGAATATGTGACCCCATCTACGTTGAACATATGCACTCCACATTCCCGATCGTGTCCTTGGCTTCTGCGAGCAGATAGACCATCTTCATCGCACCTCCACCTCCTCTAACACACTTGCCTCCCCTTTCTTCTCCTCTGTAATCCACCAGCGGCCAGTCCTCTTCACGTTTCTTCTTTTTGAATCTGTTCAGAGGGGCTATTTCCATCTGCAGTGGAGCGTCACCATTCTAGAGAAGCTTATTTGTCGGTGGACGAGCTAATCAATTGGAGAAGGCAAAATACTTCATCGGTGAGGTTGGCAATGCTCTCACAGCAGAACACCGGTGGAGAGGAGCTCTGACCAGTGGCGAGAAGCTCGGAGCACCATGAACATCCATTGCTCGCCTCCAACGTCATCTTTTTCTCCTTTCTTCTGCTCGGAATCCGCAGATCTTGGGCCTTGACTGTCCAAATCGGACTTCCTTCTGTCTGGAATCAGCAAATCGGACGGCGTCATTAGCTTGTAAATGTGTTAGGCTACGGATTGTAGGAGGTAGGGGCAGAAAGTAATGCTTCCTGGAGGGCAGGGCAGGACATGTGGGGTTGGGGAGGTCTGTGCGAGTGGTGGAGGGGGTGAACCATTGTGTCACTGTGGCGGCGTCACTGTGGATGGAACCATTGTGTCACTATGGCGGCGTCACTGTGGCGGCGTGTCAGTGTGGCGGCGTCACTATGGTCAGCGTCACTATGATCGAAGTACAGTGTAACTATGGTAATGTCACTTAAAGACGAGTCACATAAAAACGATCTCTTGATCTTTCATTTTGATCGGGATTGAATCGGAAATTCTGGTTACCCGGCTTGCCAGTGCTTCTAAATTCTACTCCCTCAGTCTCAAATTGTAAGATACATTTATTATTCACTTGGTCAACTTAAATTACTCCTAAACTTTTATTTTATATATCAAAAGTTTATGAAGTTTGAATTAGTTTTTGCAGGTTTTGTAGTGGATTTAATGTAGTTTTTGAATATGTAAATTTTATTTTCTAGAACTAATATGGGTGTTGACAGAGATCAATTTGCTTTATCATCAGTCAAACATCATAAATTGAAATGTATCTTACAAATTGGGACGGAGGGGGTAATAACATGTCTTCATGCGAATTATGTAGGATGACACATATTTTAATGTAATCCTCAAATAGTGGAATAAGCCGTATGTCCGTATTGTTACTTAAGTTTCCAAAAATGTTAGCCGCTACTCACTTTTCTGTCTTTTTATAAATGTACTCACTTTTATGGAATTGGTCCTGAAATTAGTACTATTGGTGTCCTTTCCCCTTTATTGTGTCACTAATTCTGCTTTCACCATTATTAATAATAAAAAGTTTTGGCAAAAAAAATAATAAAGTAGTTTTTTGAACTAATTAATAATACTATCCTGGGATATATAAAATAATAATAATCGAGGTTTGGGTGGGGTGCGATAGGAGTCCTCTCACAATAAGCTTCATCATAGAGGTTGGGGGTGGAGTGGGACTCCTCTTGGAATAACCTTCATCATCGATCTGGTTACTTCGTCGAAACAATGATCTGGTTGCTAACAGAAAGCCTCCAAGACAAGTGTAATGTCCGAGCTTTCCAAGATCAATGTATGTAGTGTCATGCCCAATGGTGGAAGCAGAAACCTCACCAACGAAGAGATGACACAAATACTAGACTTTCTCCTTTAAAGGGTAGTGCATGGCAAAGTTAGGCAGGTGGCTTCACAGAAACTGCATCTGTCTTTGGAATTAATCGCCGAAATGTTCATATAATATGGAAGACAACACAGTGACTCCAACATTAAAGGAAAGAGTGGAAGGAAGAAGATAAATATAGGCATGTCTATATTGCATGTCAAGTTGTCCCTTTCGTCAAAGGAGTTAAATCAGAAGTACTGCAACAACGATGGAAGTCCTTGCATCAACTATACAACGTTTAGTCAAAAGAGGAGCAAATGCGTCTTTAGCATTTGAGAGGCCTTGGACAGAAAAAATTTACGCAAAAATCATATTGAAAAGAGGTAAGTTGAATAAAAAACACCATATGAAAAAAAACATATTCAAAGTGCACGATATAATATCTTTAATAATCGTAAAGATAAGTTTTTAAATGCAACGTTGCAAACATATGCAAAAGAACACCGCAAACTTGTACTTGTAAGACCCTGTCGATCTATTCTTTTTGCCTTTTGAAGTGCAAAATTAGTAATGACATCACCGCAATGAAGAGTAGCTAACACTGTTTTTTCAACTGATAACATAGCCAAACCACTTAATCTATCTTCCGAAATGGTTGATCGTATATAGTTTTTTATAAGCTTCAACTTTTGAAAGCTTCTTTCCGCAGTAGCCACCGTTACCGGAATAGTCAATAAAATTATGTAAGCAATCCAAGCATTTGGAAAAGAAATATGCATGTCTTTTATGTACTCCAACACTTCAATAATTTTTGTTGTACATTCTGGTAAGGATTTTCCAAACAACTGCAGTTCCGAAAAACAGCTCAACTGCATCAATATCACAATTATCCCCATGCTCCAAAAAATTCCCAAGAGTGACATAATAACTCGCCAATTGCTCATCGCTAAGACCCTTCGCCTTACTCAAGTCATACAAGAATCCAAATGTATCCTCGTATTTTTGAAACTGCTCAAATCCAGTAGTAAGTGAATATATAGCATTATCAACAACAAACAAGAAGTAAGTTAACTTGAATACACTTTCTGCTAATTTTATCGGTTCATCCATTGCATTCTCATAAAAAAAACATTCTTTTTGGTATGAACTCGTGTTTAATGAAATTGGGGTTGAATATTTAATTCAATCACCAATTTTTAAACTTCAACTTTGGCTTTCTCAAATCCATCTTATCTATAATCTTTAAAGTATGCAACTAGACCTTTCAAGCTAAGAGAGTAATAGTTAAACTGATGATCATATCTTTCTGTTGGAGGACTTTGCTAACTTTGTTTACCTTGTTGAGTATCTCATACCACATTATTATAGCAACAAGGAATTCAAAGTTCATTTCATACTCAAATATGGACTTTGCATCACTCACCGTGCTAGGATCAAGTGCTCGCGTGCTTGTTTTATGCAATTAATTTCCATCACCGTTTGGTGGAACCTATTGATGAAGTATATGGTCCAGAGACCTCCGGCCAACATACTCCTACTTATCTCAAACAGGCCCAATTGACCCAATGAGCACATAGGCCCAGATACGGCGGCCCAAGTTTAAAGGAGTCCAGGATGCGCATAGAGGAGCCTTCGGCACCATAGCCGAAGGCACCAGATTCCAGGAGACGGCTAATTTCTGACCCACGAAGCTGCTGGGAAATTCTGGCTAAAACAGTAGCCCTCGGCTACAGGATGCCTTTGGCACATACACCTGGATGCCTTCGGCACATCCACTCTCAGTAAAGATTCCTTTTGAAGACAAGCAACCACCGCATTTAAGGCAGTGTCATGTCCAACCACCGCATTTAATGCAGTACCACATGTTATGCCGGTGCCACCCCCGATTGAAGTGACCCTCCACCATAGGATGATTGACACATGTACGCGTATAGCATTTATGGCTGCTATAAATAACAATCCCTTTCTCCTCTATAACCTACAATGAGTTCATTTATATCATCTGACTCTCTCTCTTACTTATTGTTCCGACCTCTCTCTAGATATTTCCTATAATATCCCCCGGATAAGCTACCCCCTGGGTACGCTATCCATCACCTAAATTCAAAGATATTTAATCATAAAAAAATACGTGTTAAAGACTTAGAGTTGATTAGTAATTAAATAAAAGCAATAAAAAAATATTGAAAAAAAGTAAATAAATTACCTGAAAGTAATTTATTAATACGGTGACACACCAAAAAATATTTTTGCTTGTGCACAACTCATAGCCATATCACAAAAGGCGAGGTTTAGAGAATGATAACCACAAGGAGTAGTATAAAATGCTCTAAGATATTCTCGTAACACCTTAGCTCATACACCTTTGTTATCTCTCTTCATGTTTGAACCATTATCGTAACCATGTCTTCTAACATTATTAAGGTCAAGTTCATGAGTGTCAAGCAACTTTTTAACTTCATCAAAGAGAGCTTCACCAATTGTTTCAATCAATTTAACCAATGTAATGAAAAACTCATTAACTCTTATAGGACTTGTAGACACGTCTATACATCTAACCACATGTTTCATTTGCTCATCACCACTAACGTCCGGTGCACAATCAAGAATAACAGAGAAGTACTTTTCACTCCAAACAACATCAAGAATTTTTTAAACTTCATTTGACAAAATTTGTATCATATCATTTTGAATATTATGACGAAGATAATGATTTCGGATCTCTTTCTTCTGTATCATCCTCAAATGTTCTTCCATTATAGGATCAAACTCTGCGATCATATTAATAATTTTCAAGAAGTTTCCATTATTTCACCTGAAAGCTTCTCCCTATGGCCGCGGAAAGCTATGTTGCAAGTGGCAAGAGTCTTGACAACAATAATAATTCTCTTTAAAACAGCTCTCCAATATTCCATCTCTTTATTGGTAGCTATTTCTCGAGAAGCATCAAATGTTACCTTTTTTTAACCTCACTTTCGCTTCCCTCCATGCTTCCATGCTAAGGATATGATCAAAGCTTTCTTCATGTTCTACCTTTATATTGGAGGCTCTGTCCGGCCGTCGCCAATTGGGGCGGTTTCTGCTGGAATTTTTTGATGAAATTTTTTGAGCATCTTCTTCATCAAATCTAGTTTACTCATACAAAAATTCAACCTGGAAGACAGTCAAATGAATTTTTGAAGATAACAACATAGTTAAATAGCGCAGTACATTTCAGAAAATCATTCGACTGTCTTCCCAGTTGAATTTGTATCTGAAATTTGGTATGAGTAAACTAGACTTAATGAAGAAGATGCTCAAAAAATTTCATCAAAAAATTCCACCGGGAACCGCCCCAATTGACGACGGCCGGACAAAGCCTCCTATATAAGAGCTGATTTTCACTTTTTAAGTTAGTTCGAGGGGCTATTTGACCCTTTAGCCTTAAATTTACTATTACTCTATTTCTGATCTCATCTGAATATTTCTACTTTGATCTGAATTAATCTAAATAAAATAAGAATAAATAATACAAGTAAATAATAAGAATAAGGCGAACAAAACAACTTATTTATTTATTTATTTATTTATTTATTTATTTATTTATTTATTTATTTATTTATTTATTTATTTATTTATTTATTTATTTATTTATTTATTTATTTATTTATTTATTTATTTATTTACGGAGTATTTAACTTTTAACACTAAAGAATAAGCCCAAATAATAATCAACCAAGCAACGACTTACGCTTCGGATCGCAACTTCTTCCGACAGAGACGAGATACGAGCAACGACCTGCACAGGCACCGCTGCAACCCCCAACGTCGATCCTCTAGGATTTCCGCCACTCTACTCAGCAATCCATCCAGGTAAAGTGCCGCAAAATGCTAGTTAAGCTTTAAGCTCTATCCCTGGTTTATCTCATATATCGGTCAATCCAATTAACAATACTCGATGGAAAAATTAAATGAAAAATGAATGTTATAGACCAGCCCACTGTCATATTCGTTGAAATGTAAATTCAAACCTGGTTCATTTGATACCAGAATTCGCAAGAGGTGATATTGATTGCACCCCCTAACTGCTATTGACTTATTGCTGCTTTATGGAAATGCTCATAAATTAGTGCAAACGAATTTTGGTGTGATTATAAAATTTCAAAATTTTACAAACCATCAGTTCGAAAAGCTAATGTGGTCATTGATCAAACTAGTACATGCTCGGTACTACATTCTTAAAGAACAACTGCGATTTAAGTGTATGAAATCCCTTAGAGAACAATTGTGTTGACTTTAATGATGTATTTTTCTGTGTGTTCGATTTTAATGAAAACTCTTATTCATGTAAAATATTTATGATATTTATTTTCTGCACTGTATTTTTATTTGTAATTGAAGTTGTTTTAAATATTATTTTTTTGGCCCCTACTGGATTGGAATGTATATGAACAAGAGAGTTTTTTTATAAAATGGAGTATAAAACAATTATTTCATTTTTAAGTTGCATCTTTACAGTTCTTCTGCGTCCAAACTCTTGATTTCATTTTCATTTTAAGCTGTTTTTTTGTATGCCAACGTTTCCGTCTTTGCTGTACAAGGACCTGGTCCAGTGCCCTGTTGGTTGCTATACCTTCATTTCCTCTGGCAGATTGACATGGTGAGGTGATCTGCACTTTTACACCCTGCACGTTGATAATTCATTCAGACCTAAATTTCCCATTTTACTAATGAGTTGTGACCCAGATCACCCAGACCCGTCCGGGGCTTAAGATTGTTAGATCTTACAAGTTAACGTGCGATCTTAACAACCCTGCTTGTTATTTTTCCATTAGCCATTTTGTTTGAAATATCAATTTATTTCCCCTAGTTGTATGTTTTGGACAGGGAAGGACATTCTGGTAGTAATTTTTCTTCTGTTGCCTCCATCTATGTTTGGAGGCCTTGTGAGTGCTAATGCAAACAGTCCGCATCTACGGAAGTCTGGAAGCCGAGTAGTTGTTTCTGACTTTGGTAAGGGGTGGTTTTGTCTTTGAGTATCGGTAAATCCATCAATTGATTACTATCTCTTTTCTTTAAGTGTTTAAACAGTATGTGCTCACCATAATTAATAATAAACTGCTAGGTACTGTTGAGTTGGGAAATAGTGCTGAAGATTTTCTGCATGCAACTGAGGTCAACGAAATGAAGGGTGTGAACACACCATTGGCCAGCACAGCAATATTGCCATCTCCAGTCTTGCTTTGGAGATTTAAGGTGTTCATTCCATCTTAGTTGCCTACTTGCCTCTCAAAATCAATGGCCAGGATACTTTACAATTTGCTATTATCTGTTCAAGTACAACATCTTGCTATAGCTGTTATAAAGGAGTTCACTCTTTGATCATGTTTTCTGGGTACACTACTTCAGTTCAAAGGGTGTACGGATATAAAAATAACAAACTTAGTGTGGACTAAATATGTAAGACAAATATGATATAGAATTAAGTTTTGTAATTGGCTATATACCTGAAACACTGAATTGCCATTGGATTAACATTTCACTTTTTCTGGAGCGGTATACGATATTCTTGAACAACACTGGAATGTTGGATATCTTGTTCATTATTCCATGCTATTTCTGTTGTTGCGTGTAAGCATAGTAGTATATCATGCTGGTTAGGGGTGCTGTTTGTCTCAAATCATATATAGTGTATTTGTATAAGTGTCTAACAAAGATAATATTTTCAGGTAGTTCTTTTTTTCATGTGGGGGTTCGCTTGTTGTAAGGTCGGTGTGGATTGTATTCTCGTGGCTGGTTCACATAACTACTGTACTACACAATATGATAATATATCATTTATTCATTTTATGGCATTATTATTTTCTATAACTTCGTTAAGCTGATATGTGAGTACAATGAGCAGATTAGCTGGGATTCAGTTATGAGAATGAGTGCAAACTTGAGGGATTTGTTTTTATATGAGGCTTTTCTGTATTACAATCCTCTACTCCTTGTGGTAAGTTTGCTTTCAGTTTTCTTAAAGACCTTACAAGCTATAATCTTTTTTGCTTTCAGTATGAGTGTGAACTTAAGATTGTTTCCTCAGTTTCCCTCTGTTTGATATTGCAGACTATGATGGTTTGGTTTTGGGGTGTGAACTTATGGGTCTTTATGCAGTCTAGCGTTAACTATGCTAAGATTTTTGACCTCGACCAGAATCATCTCACTCACAGAGAAATTTGGAGGGTAAATTATTCAATCTGTCTAAGTGAACTGTGAACATCTACTCAAATCTGTACAGTGACTTGCTTGCCTTCACTTCATAATGCAGTGTGCTACCTGGATGACAATAATTGTCCCCACTAGCATGACCGCATATCTATATCTTTATTCGCATGGAGAAGTCTCTTTGGCTGCCTCCCAACCAGTGTAATAGATGCTTCCACTTCCAATACATTTCTAATCTGTTTTATATATATGCTGTTGGCTACACCCTTTATAATATTTAGAGTCGATTTTTAATATTTAGAGTCATAGTAAATTCTCTACTGTTTTCAAGTTTTAGAGTTTGTGATCTTAACATTAGATTCTCAGTTTCTCACATAAATGTTGAATTACGTAACAGAAAACAATGCTTTCACCAACCATCTATTTGCTCTGTTAATGATTTTTTGATTCATGATACTAACATAGACTATATGCAAGTGCAGGTCCTCTTATATGCTGTTCTTGCGATGGCACTAATATCTCCCTTTGATATTTTTTATTTATCAACTCGTTTCTTTTTCCTGAGGACCTCTTGGAGGATTGTATTCCCACTACAGGCAAGTTTGTGTTGCATTTTTGAAATCAGCAAAAGTTTTTGTTTTTCTTGTGTTGAGCCTAGCTTCCTGTCATGGTTCTGTTGCTTGAAGTTTCAGACACACAACACATTCTCACTGAAATTGAATATGTTTTTATTTAATTTCTATTCTATGATTGCAGGCAATTACTTTTCCGGACTTTTTTTTGGCCGATATATTTACGTCCATGTCAAAGGTAAGCATATATTGGCATGTTCATTAATGAAATTCTAAGGGACAAACCCACTGGCTCATGCCTGTGTCCCATAGTTTCACCAGACCATAAATAGAAGTAAATGCTAACTGATTTATTCTCTCTTAAAAAGTTTTTTTTGGTTAGACTAGCCCCTACTCCCAGTTTTTATGATGTAATGAATGTTCTTTTTCCATACAACTATTTAAGCTTATATTATGAGAAAAGTGCCAATATGTAGAATCACTTTGTTTGAGCTCATTATGTTGCTAACTGAGCTAACCCTTGGCATGTTGTGTGCAAACTGCCTCAACATGACAACATATACTTTTGGAAACTTGTTAGCTATCTTAACCTTATTTTCCCTTCCACTTGTATTTACTATGCACTTGGGTTGGTCACCCCCTCCCTGATTTTGCTTACAGTAGTCTGCCTTGGAAAATACAAAGAAAATGAAATATGATCGATTTATGAAATAAGTTGTATCTTTAGATTTCTTAGTCTGTATATAATAGAAACAAATAATTCGGATTTTAATAAATAACTGAAATAAATTTATTGAGTTATTGTTTATCCTTTATTTTCCATAAACTTTTCTCTCACTAGCATCTTCCAAGCTCCTTTAGGTTTTCCACTCTGACTTGGGGATGCAGATAGCCATTGCATATTTGCATGTATAATATGCGGTTAATTTTTTGCAGGTCTTTTCAGATTTGGAGCGTTCAGTTTGTCGAATGGTTCATCGTCAGGTTGCTTTTTTCTATTTCCATCTTATATTCAAGTCTCATTACTAGTAGCTGAAACTTTAAAGTACCATAACATGTTTAGGTAGCCACCATTGCATGGTTTGAAGCTGATTCTGTTTGTGGGAGTCACTCTGTTGCAATTCCTATAGTTCTGGTGCTGCCATATTTTTTCCGACTCTTTCAATGTCTTCGGCAATATAAGGATACGAGAGAGAAGAACACTCTACTTAATGGTATATGCCTACCTGTCTTTCCCATCTGCACTTTGATATTTGATGCTTCAGCTGCCTTGCCTATTTGCTTAAAGATGAATATTTTTTTGGCTTAGTTTTCTTATAAGTTCTCCTTATTCGAATCTAGGTTGGGTGCACACAAATGACACAATACCCTTGAGGCCTTGTCAATAAATGTAGCACTAATATATATTGTTTGACATATGGTTTCAGCATTAAAGTATTCAACTGCAGTACCTGTGATATTTCTATCGGCCCTTAAGTATCATGTCTTCCCTGAAAACTGGGTTAACTTCTATCGTCCTTTGTGGCTTCTCTCCAGCGTTTTGAACTCACTTTACTCATTCTATTGGGATCTGAACAGAGACTGGGACCTCAGGTACGTAGTATCTTCTTTCGCTAACTCTTATAGAACTTATTGTTTCTTGACACCGTTACATTCCTTTATTTGAAGATGTTTAAATAAAGACTTCAAGACTATCTACACATGAGGGTGGGGCTATATATTTGCTTTCAGGACTTCAAAATATATTTCAATTCTTTCATATTTTCCATGAAAGTTTAAATTTATTTATCTCCCTGTCCTAAAACAAACTCTTTTGGAATTAAGGCTCTTGGATGTTGTTGTATCTCTCTGTCCGGTAATGAGTTTCATTTCGAGTTTTTTTGGACGCAAAAAAGAGTAGAGTTATACGAGGCGATTGATTGTGAGTAAAATTCTAATCCTTGTAAAGTCAAGAAGTAGTTAAGTTAATTACTGTAAATAATCTTGGAATCAGTTTTCATGGCAGAAGCGAACAATGGTAACTTGTAAAA